TGGATTAAATAAATTACTGTGAATAATTTAAATACCTTGGAATTATTTAAACTTAATTAATTAAATCAGATTAGGCGCACTAATAATCTCAATTACCTTAATTAATCTCAATTAATTCTTCAGGGTGTTACAGCTCCACCCCCCTTAGGCAATTTCGTCCCCGAAATTAAAGCTCACCTCAAAGTGCAAACAGATGCGGATAACGTTCCCGCATTGTCGTTTCAAGCTCCCATGTTGCTTCCTCAACACCATGGTGCTGTCACAACACTTTCACTAACGGGATCTCACGATGACGCATATTCTTCATCTTCCGGTCAATAATCTGGACCGGTACCTAATCGTACGTCGTGTCGTCCTGTATCGGAACGTCATACCATTGCACTACAGCCTCCGGATCAGGTTGACATTTCTGAAGCATGGAGACATGGAACACGTCATGCACATGAGATAATTCAGGCGGCAGGGCAAGACGATACGCCACAACACCGATTCGCTGCACGATCAGGAATGGTCCAATATACCTTGGCGCAAGCTTCATTTTCACACCAAACCGAGTAACTCCCTTACGTGGGGAAACCTTCAACAGAACAAAGTCGCATTCTTAGAATTCCAAAGGCCTACGCCTCCTGTCAGCATAACTTTTCTGACGACTTTGAGCTGTCAACAGTCGTTCCCGAATCACAGCTATCTTCTCATTATTCTCTTGAATGATTTCCGGCCCAGTGCTCAGTCGATCCTCTGGTTCCACCCAATACACAGGTGACCTACAAGGACGACCATACAGAGCTTTAAACGGTGCCATTCCAATGCTGATAGCTGTTGTTATAAGCAAACTCAGCTAGATGCAGGTATTTCTTCCAGTTCCCACCAAATTCCAGAATACAAGCACGAAGCATATCCTCCAGAATCTGAATTACCCTTTCAGATTGCCCATCAGTCTGAGGATGAAATGTTGTGCTGAAGTTCAAGTCTGTTCCAATGGTTTCTTGGAAACTCCTCCAATACCTTGCATTGAAACGCGTATCACGATCTGACGTGATAGACAATGGCACTCCGTGTAACCTTACGATGTGCTCCAGGTACAATTCTGACAGAATCTTTCGAGAATACGTTGCACGAAACGGTATGAAGTGCGCAGACTTCGTCAACCTGTCAACCACCACCCAGATGGCATCGTGCTTCAGCTCGGTTCTCGGTAGCCTCATCAGAAAATCCATGGTGATGTGCTCTCATTTCCATCCAGGGACAAGAAGAGGTTGCAACTCTCCCGCTGGTTTCTGGTGCTCAGCTTTAATCCGGAGGCAAGTCACACATTCTGAGACATACTCACGGACGTCTCTTTTCATGACTCTCCACCAGTACTGTCTTTTCAGATCCTGGTACATCTTTGTACTCCCCGGATGAATAGCATACCTCGATTTGTGTGCCTCTTGCAGAATCTTCTTCTTTACCTCACCCGCCTTAGGAACAGCAAGGCGGTTGCGGAAATACAAGCCTTCATACTCCCGGATTCTCCAATTCTCGAATTGTTCTCCCTTCTGGATCCGAATCCAAATCCCTTGGAGGTGTGGATCCTGCCATTGATTCTGCTTAACTTGTTGCACAAAGTCCGGTATAGAAATCAGATTATATACCATAGTCTCGTTATAATCTTCGTAGAACTGAAGATCGTACTCACTCACCACTTCAGTCATTTTCCAATCTTCCAAAGCTAATGACGCCAGAATCCCCGTCGGCTTCTTGCTAAGGGCATCAGCCACCACATTAGCTTTTTCAGGATGATACTACAGAGTGAAGTCATAGTCTTCCATGTACTCCACCCATCTCCTTTGCCTGAGATTCAAGTCTTTCTGAGTAAACAAGTATTTCAAACTTTTATGATCAGAAAAGACCTGAAACTTTGCTCCATAGAGATAACATCTCCATATTTCCAGAGCAAATATCACTGCTGCCAGCTCCAAATCATGAGTGGGGTAATTCTGTTCATGTGACTTTAGTTGTCGGGATGCGTAAGCTACAACGCGTCCACCTTGCATCAACACACAGCCCAGCCCACTCCCCGAGGCGTCAGTATATACCTCATACAGCCCTTCAGTGTCAGGAATAGTCAAGACTCGTGCACTTGTCAGTCTGACCTTCAATTCCTGAAAAGCACTTTCACATTCGGCGTTCCATTCGAATCTGACTTCCTTCCTCGTCAACCGAGTCATCGGTGCAGCGATGCTCGAGAAGTCCTTCACAAAACGCCGGTAATAGCCTGCCAGTCCGAGAAAACTGCGAATCTCCGCTACATTCTTCGGCCTTTCCCACTGTAGCACAGTCTAGATCTTAGAAGGATCGACAGAAATTTCTTGTCTAGAAATCACATGCCCAAGGAACTTCACTTCTGTCAGCCAGAAGTCACACTTCTCCTTCTTAGCATACAACTGGTGTTCTCGAAGAGTCTGAAGTACAATTCTCAAATGTTGCGCATGTTCTTCCCAAGTCTTCGAGTAAACCAGTATGTCGTCAATGAAGACGATCACGAACCGATCCAAGTACAGCCGGAAAATACGGTTCATTAGATCCATGAATGCAGCCGGGGCATTCGTCAATCCAAACGGCATTACTAGAAACTCGAAGTGCCCGTACCGAGTTCTGAAAGCAGTCTTCGGAATGTCTTCCTCCTTGATTTTCAGCTGATGGTACCCAGATCTCAAATCAATCTTAGAGTAGAACTGTGATCCACCCAACTGATCGAACAATTCATCGATCCTCGGCAGTGGGTACTTATTCTTCACAGTCACCCTGTTCAATTGACGGTAGTCAATGCACAACCGAAGAGATCCGTCGTGCTTCTTCACAAATAGCACCGGTGCACCCCAAGGGGAAGTACTATTCTGGATATATCCCTTTTCTGCCAACTCCTCAAGTTGCGTTCTTAATTCTTTCATC